GTGTGTGTGTGTGTGTGTGTGTGTGTGTGTGTGTGTGTGTGGTATGATAAGGTTTAGCCAACACAGAAATTATTCTCAGGAGAGTGTATTCACTGAATTTTCTAGAAGAGGTTCTCAGCCTGTCTTCTTCTAACAGAGGACATAATTTAACTTTCTGCTTCATTTCAGCGGTAGAAACCACTTAGGAAACATTGGTGAAGTATTGAGCACTGAACTGTTTCTGCTAACTAGTTAAACACAGCTAAACATCTTCCTAACGTTTATTCTGATAAACGTGTGTGTGTGAACTGGTTATGACACGCTTGTTATCAAAGAGTGATGAGCACCGCTGAGATGCGTTTACTCCGTCCCTCCACTGAGCTCATGCTAAGTTGTCCGACTGAGAATCTGCTTGCAGAGTAGGAAAGCGTGACCCCGGAGATGTGACCGAGTCCTGAGACTAGCGGGCTTCTTTCCCAGTTGGCTGGAGACCTTGGATGATGATTTCTCAGTACATCTGTGCGGACAGGAGGAGAACTGCATCGTTTTATTCTCTGGCTTAGTTCTTTTTAATGCAAAGGACAACGTTTGTTTATATAAGCTGACTAATTCTGATATCATTATTCTTGTTGTCCTAAGATAAGATGATTTTGAGACAAAATATGAACAAATAAAAGCACAACATTTAGAATATTTTAATAGATCCGAGCTGAGACTGTGGTCAAGGACATCGCAGAAAGGAATAAGAAAAGAAGGAACCAGGGGAAATCTGGGCAGCTTAGACACAGAGTACTGAGTCCTGGAATCAGCTTCCCTGGGCCTTGAACTCGGTTCTGCCGTTTACTTGGTAGAGACAGTAAATAGAAACTATGAAAGCTGTCCAAGACTTGAGTGACCCAACAGGCTTCTCAGATGGAACTCGAGAGAATGGAGATAAGGTCAGCAAGTCTTTAGCCCCAAATGTGGCATGGCGAATTCTCTTGAGGATTTGTGGAATGACTCCTGGGATCCCCTTCCTACAATTTTGGCCCTGCAGTGTCTTCCTGGTTCTCTCTGTAGTCCCCAGGGAGGGGAACTTGATGGTCTATAGCACCAACACACCTCAGAATTCTAATCTACATCTTCAGCTGCTCTCAGCCTGATGGGGAAGGGCTGGGGAAGATGGGAGGGGGTTTTGAACAGTGGCCAGCCTGCTGTAGCCCCCAAAACAGATGTTGTTTGGCTCTTGCCTCTCTTAAAAATTTGACAAAATCTGGGAAGTCCAGGTCCCACCACAGAAATCACTAATGCTACTTGTATTGGTTTGTCAATCAGCCTCACTCCATCCAGACTCCCGACATTCTCACTGGATTTGTTCTAGGGGAATGATGTGAGGAAGAGGATCCACATTTACCACGATAACCTCGTGCAGTGTCTCCTCTGAGGCCTATAAATACCATCATTTCATCCTGTGAGGAACCCAAGGACACCGAGGATGCCTGCTTGAGGAAACCTGCCCAGGTCTCCAAAAGCAATAGCTGAAATGGGGCTAACCCACCACCCGTCTACCACCAAACCTGCCGGCCCAGCACTTCCGCAGTGTCCACCCGAACCAGAGGAGTGCCAAGAACCAGAAAGTCCTCTAAAAGGCAGCCAAAGTACACTTCATGGATTTGATGTACTTAAGAGGGGATGTTTTATTCATAGGCCATCACCCACAGCCAGGCCCAGACCATTATTGTTTTCCCACATGAAGCAGAGAAACAAGAGCTCTGAGGCCCAAGTGCATCTCATGGTCTCCCAAGGGTGCTTCAATAGCAACTGTCTGGTTCAGACTGGTCTGTTGGACTACTCAGAACCTGGTCTTGGTCCTTTCCTAGTTCTCCCTGATACCTCATCCACCTTGTTCAAAGGATTTAGGATCCGATTACAGAATGTTAGCTCCAGCATTAAGAGTTAAAGAAAAATAAAGTTTATCTTGAGTCCCAACACTAGAAATGAAGAAATGGACGGGCCCAGCTCCATTTGCATTAGAGTGGAAAGCCTCTTTTCAAATAAAGTCTGCTTGGTAATTTACTGGGAGGAAATTCCTTTTAAAAGTCCACAAATACAATCAAAAGTAACAATCTGTTTTTATTTTTTATTTCTAGGGACACTTGTGGCCATTTGTTTTTGATAAGCTCCATGTCACACGATAAATGTGACTGAGGCCGACGAACACTGTACCTGCTGCTTCACGGAGCTGGGTGCCGTTCTGTGTAAGACTGGCTGCTGACCTCATCTTCTGTCCCACAGACGGGGAACAGCTTGGGGAAGGTCAACATTTACCTTTCTGCTGGGTCCTGCAAATGCTTTTCAAAGGGTTGTAAAGAAATGGATTCACTCCCAACACTAACCATGAGTGCATTTTAGTCAAAATGGGTGTTGGCCCTTTACGAAATTTAGTGCCATCCTCCCGGTGAAGGGCAACCACTAGGAAGATGGCGGAGCCAGCAGTAACGGAGAACAGAGCCACAGGCACTGTCCAGACGCTGAGACCTTCCTCAGAGGGCAAGAATTGAGAATTTCCAACTGGGAAATTGAAATTTTATTCTTGTAAGACAAAATTTTTTAGATGTTTTTATAATAGCCTCATGTGATTACAAACAGGGAAAAACAAATAAAAATTATTTTTGTAACATCCTCCAATGAATATACATAGGGAACAATTTAATATTTGTTTACTTACTTATTTATCTGTTTGTGTCTGGGTATGTGGGCATGTGGAGACCAGAGCGGGCCACCGGATGGGCTTCTCTATCATTCCCACTTATTCCTTTGAGGCAGGCTCCCTCATGGTTTGATTTGTTTGTTTGTTTTCCAGTTAAACTGGAAGCTTGCGAGCCCCAGAGACTCCCCGGTGCCTGCTCGCCTCAGACCTGGGGCTACAGGCGAGCCCCAATGCTTGGTCTGTTACCTGAATGCTAGGCTCAGAGCTCCTGGCTCCATGATCGCATAGCAAGGCCCCTCTTCTTCTCAGTTTTTGTTTTATGCGGATGTAACTGCCTCTCTTCATGTGCACCGTGGGTATGCAGTGCCCAAGGATACTGGAAGAGGACATCGGATTCTCTGGAACTGGAGTTACAGGCAGTTGTGAGCTGTTCCATGTGGGTGTTGGGAATTGAACTTGGGTCCTCTGCAAGAGCAGCAAGTGTTTTTAACCACTGAGCCACCTCTTCGGGCACCATAACAAGGCCTCTTAACCACGGAGCCCTCTAATCTCTGCAGCCCAGATAAGAAAGAGAAAGGATCTAAGTCTGGGTGACTTAGGCAGCTGACAGAAGAGCGTCGTCGGACTTCAAACTGGCATTAGACAAGAGCCACTCTCTTTCCTATAGACATCAGCTCGTCACAAATCCTGCATGCTTGTTACTTTCTGCTATCAAATTTCAGACTGTGGGATTGTTTTCACAGTGAAATGTGAGAAGTTTATAGTTGTGGGCCGAAAGCTAGGCTGGCTAGACTCCGGTGTGCCTTCCTCCAGTCTTGCCTTTGCCCCGGTGGATTTTCTTGCGATTAGCATACTTTGCTATTATGGCGTTTAGGAAGAAGGAAGTTTTCTGTGACATCTAATTTTAGAAACGGAGGCACAGCTACTCAAAAGTATTGTCTTTGCAGTTCCCGAGTCCTTTCCTGCTGTAACCCCTCCCGAGTTCTGGTGGCCGTTATGTGACCTCGGAATGAGCGCTGGGGTTTTCCTTGGGCTTTGTACGTTATAAACACAAATGTGAATTCTCCTAAACAACGGGGATGATGGAAGGGCGGACACAGAAGGGGAGAGGGGGGAGGGGGAGACGAGGGGGGAGGGCAGGAAGTCAGAAGACTAGGAGGTATTGCGTTCTTGAAACCTTTGTAAGCCCAGGGAGGGAGTCCTGTTTGCTAGTATAATCACACTATTCTTCATCCGCAAGGTCGGCTCTGGTGCGGTTGAATCCATCCCCCTGCTGATACATCTGCTTCTAAGGACTGTGTTTCACAAGATACTTGTCTGGGACAGGGACAGGGGAGAATGGGGACAGAATCTCAAGTCCCACCAGGAGAACCAAAGGCACAGGACAGCTCGACCTTGGCCACGTGTCATATCCAGATACATAGGAAATAAACCAATAGGCTCATCCCTCTGCCTCAATTATTGCCCCAAACCTATGTGACTTGTCTGAGTTACAGAATGTGTGTGGGAAAGGACATGTTCCCTTCCCATGCTTCTTGTGCTCGGCTGCTCTTGGGCCTTCGGTGAAGCAATGCATGGGGACGGGGACGGCATGGCAGGGGCCTGCTCATCTGTGGGGACCGCAAAGCAAAGGAGAGATAGGAAGACACTTTTCAAGTGTTTAATGTCAGTTAACTAAAAAGGTTTAAAACTGCATGTGAATCTTGTGACTGGCCATGGCCTCAGGTTTGTTATAGAGGTGTGCAGAGAAATCATAATTGGGGGGCTGGGGAGTGGCTCTGTTGGTAAAGTGCATGTAAGTGTGAGGACCCAAATTCAGTGTCCAGCACCTGTGTGGCAGTGAGCATGTGTGGTCCCAGTGAGGCAGAGAGAGGCAGAGACCTGGGTCTCCTTGGTCAGCCTGAGCTAACTGGTGCCTGTACCTGAGGAAGGACACCTGAGGATGACCCTGGCCACACACACACTCATACTCTCAAATGTGCACATATATGCTCACACATTTGCACACACACTTAATACACACAAACACTCATACATATACAAAGAAATTGGCTTTGTTTGTTCTTAGGGAGGGAATGGAATCTTTGAGCAAAGGGAGGACATGGCCTAGCTCCTAGAGGCACATAACACCAAAGAACAGCTTTCTGGAGACCTGGGGCCCACCTTGCCCATGTAGTGCTCAAAGGTAGGCGCTCCATCAGGTTGTCTGCAAGATCCCCAGGGACCAAGACCTTCTGTGAAGATCTGTGTGGGCAAGTTTGACCCAAAATATGTGGATGTCACGAGCACGGCAGATCTGCCAATGAGCTTCTTGACCCTGGCCGGGGTGGACCGGAGACTCTTCCTTATGTTTTCTGAATGTTGGGATCCTCAGTGTGTTCAGGCTATCTCAGACAGAAGGGAGTTTCCTCCCTGTGCGGCTGCCCTGGCCCTGCCTCCACCACGTGGCTGAGCTTACATTTCCCAGGTAGCCAACTGCCGTCTTGTCTAAGTTGCTCTGAGACAGTTCAGCACAGATGTGCAGGTCAGTTGTCCCTAAACTCCGGGGGCCGTTAACTAACATCTGAACTGTCTGAGCCGCTGTGCTCACCCCCAGTAACTCCTTACCTTTGGAAAGACTAATTAAAAACTCACACTTCCTCGGGCTTTGTCTCAGGATACCTTAGGCATTGTTCACGAGCAAAACAGAGATGGGGGAAGATCGTTCTTTGGAGACATGAGCAGTGAGAGAGCTGGGGACAGAGCAGTTGGCAGAGTGTCGGCATGGCATGCACGAAGCCATGGGTTCCAGCTAACCCCAGCATAGCAAAGAGCCAGGCATGCTGCAGCACTCGGGACAGCAGGAGGATCCGAAGTTGAAGGACATCTTCTGATGCATATAGCACAGTGGAGGCCAGCCCGGGCTATCTGAGATCCTGTCAGGGGAGGGGCGGGGAGAGAGAATGGGACCTTGGCATCTTGAACGAGCTCACTCGGTCTCACACGGACAGAAAAGGTCCGGAGGTCAAGCCGTACTTGACAAACAGCTGTCTGGTGCCGTACCTGAGACGGTCCCAGTTCCTGACTGACACCAGTTCTGCTCTGCTCACAGGAGAGAACAAGCAGAAAGTCTGCTCGTGCTACAAAGTACTGTCACATGACTTCTGGTGAAACTCAGAAGCCCTCAGGCTCCATTCAAAGGTCTTAAAAGTCAGGAATCTGGGACTTTCACCAAGCCTGCAAAGGAAGTCACATACCTGTTTGTACCTGCTTGGTAATAAATGTCTTTATGTAGCAGAATGCAGTGTGGACATCACTTCACTGAGATTACGGCTGACACCTACTTTAACGACTGAAGACGCAATGGCTCCCTCCAAGAACCAGTCATAAAGGTCTCGGGTCCATGCAGCACATCTACCAACCCAGACAGTCACATTTCATTAAGAGCATGACACTTCATTAGGTGCAGGAGTGTCACACTCTCGTTCCTTTGGCTCTGCCAGTGCTGACGGTTGGAGTTTCTCAGTCACTGCCGTTGTTAGAAAGGAGCTGGCTTAGAAAAATGCACACCTGGAACGTCAGAGCCGCACCTCATTGTAATTCCGCATCAACAACCTCAGCAGAGGAGGTGGCGGCACCTGTCCTGGAGGGTGGAGAACAAACCCCTGGTTGCCTTCTTGGCTTCACCTGGTTCTCCTGGCTTTGCCTTAGGGTGTCCACTTACACCCTCATTCCTACTCAGCAGAAACGAAGCAGGGAGTGTAAGCACCTGCAGCAAGCTAGTCCTCGATCAGTCCTTGTAAGGATGCAAGCTGTGAGTCAGTAGTAAATCCTGACTTTATAGTCTCGGGAGAAAGAAACCTGTGCAGCCACCAGCCTATAACAGACAGGACCACGGCTATCTATAAACAGGGCAAATATCATACAGGCTGGGAGGGAGCCCTGACTGAGGGAAGAGCGGGCTTTAGAGAGGATGCAGTGAGCCTGGGGCATGGGAAGAGGAGGATGCAGTGAGCCTGGAGGACGGGAAGAGTTTCTTGATGGACAATGAGGAGGCTACGCCAGGAGTAGGGAATGATCTGGAAGTCAAGTGGAGCTAGCAGTCTGTTCCCATGTCTTCAGAACGACACCAGGCTCTGGATTTTATGCCCATTCTGTCATGTTCAGGAAAGGAAATTCCAGCAAGTGTGGTAGAAAAACAGACTCAAATGAGGCCTTGAAACCGGGTTACCACAGTTCCTAGCTGGCACATAGACACCCTGTCACATGGGTCAGTGGGGAACAAAACAGCCCTCCAGTCATACTGCAACCAGCCAGGTTTAAATTTCACAAGATACCCTGGGAGCCAGTAAAGCCTTGCTGTTAACAGTTTTGAATGGCATCACAAGGAATCTGGACTTTGTTCTGTAGCCAATTGGAGCCATTGAGGATTTTTGAGGTTTGAAGAGACAAAAACCATGAATATGGAGGATAAGAACAGGATGAATATTATACATACTTTCCTTTCTTGCATTCTCTGCTCTAGGTATATTCTCAACCATTCACAAAAGCCTCTGGAAGACAAATGTTGCTTTTTAACATTTGTTATTACATATGTGTGTGTGTGTGTGTGTGTGTGTGTGTGTGTGTGTGTGTGTGTGTGTGTGTATGCGCGCGCAGCAGAATTTGTTTTCTTCTTCTACTGTGTGAGCCCAGGAATCAAACAGCTTATCAGACTTGGCAGCCAGCTCCTTAACTTGCTGGGCCATCCCACCAGCCCTGAGCAGATCAGTCCACACAACTGTGGGGCCCCTTAAGAGCCACACCAGAGGCAGATCCACAGCTCTCTGAACACACCCTAGAAGTGCCACTGCTCTGGGTGGTGACACTGTGCTTCTGTGCGGGTCACCAAGGCAGTGTTTGAGTGTGGGAACTAAAGTGTGAAAAATAGAAACATACTCATGAGCACACAATCTAAAAGCGAAAAGAGGAACTCACATTTGCCTTGAGTTTTTAGACATTTAGATTTCCCATTTATAACCAAAAACTCCGTTGTATTTTTCTAATAAGATAAAGCTGTAAAACAGAGGCAGTTCACCCCAGTCAGTACGAGACCGTGAGCACACATGCCCATCGATGTGCCCCTCGAGAGCTCTGATGTACTGCCATTTGTCTCAATGTTAAGTAAGACTGCGTTAATCTGAAAGCTGCTAGAAGCTGTTGTTACCAGCAATTAAAAGTCTCTGGCCTTCCTGAGCACAGACCAAGTTTCCATTCCTGTGACAATGTTAGATTGGCAACCCCAAGTGCAGGATATTTCCCTAGAGGATGCTTGCCCACCTGTTAAAATGCTTGCCCACCCCTGTTACAATGCTTGCCCACCCATTACAATGCTTGTCCACCCCTGTTACAATGCTTGCCCACCCATTACAATGCTTGTCCACCCCTGTTACAATGCTTGCCCACCCCTGTTACAATGCTTGCCCAGCCCTGTTACAATGCTTGCCCACCCCTGTTACAATGCTTGCCCACCCCTGTTACAATGCTTGCCCACCCCTGTTACAATGCTTGCCCACCCCTGTTACAATGCTTGCCCACCTGTTACAATGCTTGCCCACCCCTGTTACAATGCTTGCCCACCCCTGTTACAATGCTTGTCCACC